CCCCCCCCAACTTTGCCCTTAATGGCAGGCGAGAGAGAACACATACCAGAAGGTTGGGGTGAATTCCGGAGCAAGTACAGACTATTGCTTGGCCTGTGAAGTAGTGCAGCAGCTTTGGTCCCTGGAAAGTGTTCCTCCATTTTCCTATGGAATAGTGCTATGGTGAAAGAGTATGTTTTGCTCAAGTAAATAGCAGAGGCCATCAGAGGACTTGGTTTCATGTCATCAACGTCAGTTAAGTTTATGAATATCTTCCACAGACAGCAAAGCATTGAGCAATGTTTTTGGACAACACTTATAAGAATTTTAGAAGCTCCAAAAGATTATAATGTTGTAAAAGGAAAGGGGTAGCTGTATGACTTGGATCCTGCATCTCTTAATGAGTTTAAGAGAAATTAAGTGTCAGTGCCTAAACAGAAAATATTTTAAAATATGAAAGAGAAAGAGATGAAATCTACTCGACTGATGTTTTTTTCTTTTGCGCTAAAATGCATTGTGTGTGTATGTGTGTTCTTTGCAGACATATGAAGATTCACGAGAAGGACCCCAATGGCACCACAGCCACAGCCCCCCCATCCCCCTTGAAACGCAGGCGGCTGACCTCCAAGAGGAAGCTGAGTCACGACGCCGAGTCTGAGAAGGAAGACCCCACGCCTGCCAAAAAGGTCCGGTCTGCTCCAAGGACGAGCAAGCCTTGTCATAAGATGTTTGGCAGAACTGCCTCTAACCTTTCGTAGGCTGCAGACTTTGCACAAAGTCCACCCCAAGCCTTCACCCACCTTTCCCTTTGTGAGGTGGCCACACAGAGTCTGAATGTGTGCCTCCTTGGCAGGGCCACTTCTCTGCGCTCGCTGGCTAAGTGAAGAGCTTTAACACCGTGCCATGCTTTTTAAGGAGCCTCTCTGACTAGAATGTAAGCCTCATAAGAGTCTCAAGCTCCATCGCCCCTGTGCTGTACCCCCAGTGCCTGACACCGGTGGCCATTGAGTCAGTACCAGCTCCTGGCCACCCCATGCGTGTCAGCGTAGGAAAGTGTGCTCCAGAGGGGCTTCAGTGACTGGCTGTCAGAGGGGATCACCAAGCCTTTCTTCCAGTGCACCACTGGGTAGACGCGAATGGCCAACCTTTCAGTTATCAGTGAAGCACGTTTGCAGTACGAACAGAACATCTTAGGGACCCCATCAGTATATGCGAATGGATGAATGGTCTTGTTCAGTGCGTACTTGCTACGTGAATGCTACTGGATTCTTACTACCTAGAGGGAGAAGCACCATGTCCACTTGAGTAGTGTCTGAATTTAATGTTCTCCCAAAGCAAACTCAGGAGACTTCGCGCGTGACTTTATTTTTTGCCTTTTCCTTAAGATGGTGGAAGACGGGCAGTCGGGTGACCTGGAGATGAAGGCGGATGAAGTTTTTCACTGCCCAGTGTGTTTCAAGGAGTTTGTGTGCAAGTATGGGTTGGAGACCCACATGGAGACCCATTCGGATAACCCCCTGAGGTAGGAGCAGGTCTGCGGCTTCGGGGCCCTATGTGATTTGTTCTTAATATCCATTTCTCTAAACTGGCTTTAGAACTATCGAGACCATCTGTGGTGGCATTTAACCTTGGCGACTCAGAGCAGGACTGACTCCATGGACTTTTCTAATGGCTGATTTTTCGGGAGGCCAACACTCCTTTTCCGAGGCATCTCTGGGTGAATGTGAATCTCGGTCTTTTCAGTTTGCAGCCAAACGCATAGATCATTTGCATCAATCAAGGACTCCGAATGTGGGGCTCTGTGGGTCAATCCATGCTAGAATTCTTGCCTTCCATGCAGGAGACCTGGGGGCTCACCCAGTGCATCTTGTGTGCAGCTGTCACCCATGCGTCAGGGGAAGCTGCGCGCTGCTGTGATGCTGAACCATTTCCACAGAGCTTCTGCTCTAAGACAAGCTACAAGGAAGGCCCGGTGACCTACTTCAGAACAGGAGCCAACGGAACCTTGTTGATGGTGGTTCGTTTGGTCTGCAGCTGATCCTGGGGGTGGTACAGGACCGGGCAGTGATTGCGTTTCATCATGTCCGGGGTTGCCATGAGTCTAGGGCTGACTTGGTGCCAGCCCACAGCTCCAACAATGGGCCTTACGAAAACATTAGGATAGTGTACGCTGGGGGCTGAGACATGTCACAGTGGTTAGAAGACACTCACGTTTTCTTCCCGGAGCAGCATGCGAGGATGTGGCACTGGGCAGGTCAAGACTGCGTGATCTATCCCTGGTACACTGCTGGCACATCTTACGTGCTCATAAGCGCTTTCACCAAGCTTGCCTGAGAGCACAGAAACCTAAGGACACTCAGTGGGATGGGAGCGAGGCCTGCTTCAGGGTGTGACCCATAGGCAGAAGCAAGGCCACCGTGCGTCAGCACAGCACTGGTGGATGGCGGGCTGCGTCGCATCTTCAGTTTTCCATCTGGCTGTGGTGAGTACAGCTTGACCAGACGGAAGGCACGTACTATTTTCCGGCTGAACTTCAGGGAGACCCTTTTTGATTTTTCTACTTTGTCCTATAACCTCTTGATAAAAAAAAATAATAATCCTGTGTTTTCAATGAACAGATAGGCTTAGGATGTTGACTGAGGGAATAGCTGCTTGTTAAACTGTCACTGCCGTAATTTCTACGTTTTTTGAGAGGTACAAAAAACGTGCCGGTGCCTTGGCTGCAGTTGAGAGGCTTCCAAGTAGTGTACCTTGAAAGTCACAGCTCGGGACTCAACGGAGCAGAAGTGAGTGTGGATACGTAGCTGTAGCTCTACATTTCGGCAGGCAGCTGAGGCGTGCACGACTCGGGGCATCTGCTGGTCTGATTACTGTTCTTTGGACCCGATCTCATTTCTGAGGACACACATTTTGTTGTGACTTAGACATGAGAAGGTCTGAGCAAACCAAAGACTTTTGTTGGAAGGTGAGGAGAGAGCCTAATTTTACAGTAACTTAAAACCATGTCAAAGTGCTATGAAATGCCTTTACCTAAGTCCCTGTCCTAGGACATCGTACCACGTGAAGGAGCGTGCATGGACGCCAGGTTGCTAGTCTCAACTTCGTTCATGTGTTCCCTTGACCAGGTTTCTCTGGGCCTCAGGTTCCTCTTTCGCCCATTTCTCTTTCAGGTCTTAAATTCTGTGATTCTGAAACCTGCTTGCCCAGAAAAAGCACTTAGATCTTCCTCGATTCTAGAGACTCAGGAGCTGGATCTCCCACAGTTTCCTCAGTATTCGTGACATCCCACAGTGGGGTAGCAGTGGGTAGTGGATACTGAACTAATTCTCTAGGCAGAGAACCTGAGCAAGCAGAGGTAATGCTTCCAGATGAGCCTCACATTGGGGAGTCGTGGGCTGAGGCAGGAACTGCTCGTGGGACCCCCAGTTCCCTGCCAAACAGCCCCCTCCCCCAAATGGTTTTCTCTGCCCATCATGCCATTCACTTGATCCTGTATTTTGTGACCAGATATCATTGTAGGAATTAGCCATTAGCCACTTGTAAGAATCCTGGCCCTTGGGAGAGAACTCTGGGCATCTGGAGCCTGTAGAGTGTAGGCTGACTTGATTAAGGGCGTGCTTTCTTCTGGGCATTGTTGACCAGAGCCCTGCTCCCGAGAAAGGCGGATGCTTTAAGGGGTCGGCTACTGGCTGAAAGATGGGCAGTTTGAGCCCACCCACAGGCTTCTCAAGAAGCACCTGGCCGTGTACTTCTGGAGAATTGGTGATGCCACACAGATCCACTGTGGTGCCCCCTGGAATCCCATGGCTACCATTGGGTCAGTGGTTCCTGGCAGATTGTGGTCGGTCACTGTTTCATACTCCATCCACATGTGTCCTCCAGGGTTTTTTTTGTAATGCCACTAGTGGGCAGTAGGGTTGTGGTATTGAACCTCAAGCTCTGCCTGTGCTGTTAACTGGGTGGAGCATTGTCTGACCTCTTCAAGAGGTGAACCCTTTATTTGGCCAGAGTTCAGTGGAGAAGTTTTATTAGTTTCTCTGCCTCTGGGATTAGACTTCTGGGCCACCCTTTCAGGAGCCCTGCTGGCACAGTGGGTTAAGCATTGGGCTGCTAATCCCAAGGCAGTCAGTTCAAACCCCCCAGCCACTCTGTAGGAGTAAGATGGGGGCTGTCTGCTCCCACAACGCTTTGCAGTTTGAGAAACCCAAAGGAGCAGTTCTGCGCGATCCTGTAGGGTCTTGAGGAGTGGAAATCTACTTAATGGCAATGAGCTCAGTTGGTTTGGGGGGCACATGCTGCAGTTATGCGCTCTGCTGCTAGTCAAAGCCCCAGCTGCTCTTGGGAGTGCCTCTGTAAGGCTTGTGTCTGTCTGTAGGGTCACACTGAATTTGGACAGCCTTTCATTCTCTTGACACCCTCAGGGTACCCCCAGTGACTGGCGGGGCCTCGCATAGAAGTTGGTAGCCACATAAAGTGGATGGGAGGCTGTCCCCCCACCCTGCTCTAATAACTATTGCTGGTTGGGGTAGAGCTTAGGTCTGGAAACCAAAAACAGTTGATTACAGACATAGCCAATTCCTCTTTTCCCCTAAGTGCCCTGCTGCTCCACATAATACCCTGCTATAAGAGGATGCCTTTGGGGCAGGCGGGAACCAAGAGGGCCTACCCAGCCAGTGAACTGTGACAGGAGCTGGTAGGGGGAGAGAGACTGCTAACCCAGATCTAAAATAAGCACCAAGTCCCATTTTCAAACCCCAAAGGCAACAGAACCACAGAAGGATGATACTAGCTCAGACAGAATGTTTATAACTTAGAACAGCTGTTGGCTTTGTGTGTCTGTGTCTGTGTGTCCATCCGTCCGTCTGCTCTGCCTCCCGCACCACCCACGGCTGGCAGGGTGCCCACTATGCCACTTTAAAAGTGCTGGGAATCTACACGTCAAAATGCTCAGCTCATTCTCCTCTACTTCCCCTGAGTTTCAAATGCGTGTCCATGTAGAACGTGTCACACGCAGTCCTGGCTCTTGGTGTTGGCTGTGGCTGGTGCCCTACTCCAATCAGCAGTCCCTGCAGCAGAGCAAAGAGAAGGCAACAAGGAGCGAGGAAGGGGCTTGCTGAGAGCTGGCATTTGGAACCTGAACAGACAGTGTTCAGGGAGTAAGTAGATGAAAAGAGGACAACCCCTGTGTGAGGATGCTGTGTGGTGTCTGTCTCCCTCAGGTATAAGAATAGAACCGAGTGACAAGTTGTAGCTTCTGTGAATAAAGGGAGACAGGAGGAAAGTCTAAGTCAGTGTTGCCCAGAGGAAAGTGGATGTGAGCTACATGTGTGCTCTTTGAAAAGTAAAAGAAGCGGGTGACTTCGTAGTACTTAATTGATAGAACCAGTATAGCCTCACATGGAATCTCAACATATCAATATGAAAATCTCTAATGCTATATTTTACATTACTCTACTGAGTCTGAATC